CTCTCACTCTGTTTGTCTTAGAGTGAGTGAGAGAAAAAAACTGACCTTCATAAAGCTCCACGTAAAGATTCTCTACAACGCCTCCTTCTCTGGTCTCCTTTTGAGGAAGACTACAGAAGGAAGTCAGCCAGACATTTAGAAATCTATAGGGAAAGACCTCAAGGCTAAATTGACATAAATTAAGATTTCTGTTTTTCAATAGGAGCTGTGAAATCACGTGAAAGCACAGAATAAGGCAGAGAATTCCATTTTAAATAGCAGTAAACATTTTGACATCAGATGGGATGCTTTCCCTCTCTGAGCCAAACAGTGATAAATACAGGAAACCGTCTTTTGGCCTTCTTGACTTGCTGAACCCAAACTGCACAAGTAAGTAAAAGCAAGAAGAAGAAGAACAATGTACTGATAGTAAAAGTAGCTGAACTGTGCATTTTGAGATTTTCTTCTGTAGTGAAACTTGCCTCCAAATCCAATATTTTATAAATAATAGTGTTTGAAGGTGTGCTGGTGAAGAGCATACATCATTTTTAAATAGAATAAAAGCATACTGACTTTGTAAAAAAGGTAGTAAGTCTTTTACTGACTTAAAAACTATTTACATTTAGCATGAGAGTAGATGGAGCAAATGCATGTCATAGCAGACTCACAAGGGTGGTTAAAATGATTTAAAAGCTGTTATTCACTTTACTGGGTTGTGCGTGCTGGTTCACTGTCACTGGGAGACTAAATGGAACCGAACCGTCGTTACTGTTATTAACTCCACCTTTGTTTTTCTGCCTTTGACAAGTCAAAATGTCGGCTGTGCAACCAGTCCATTTAGAGACTTAGATGACTTTATACTTGTTACTGATATTGAATATTTATTTTACAGACTAGTGACAAATTAAAGGAAAACCTGACCTTCCACCTACGTCACAAGCTGTCACTAAACATTTTAGGTAATTTTTTGGCCATTTTATGTTTTAATCGATAGTCAAGAGCTGAGAGATGACAGTTAACGAGGTGACGTGCAGTAAAAGGTCCCTGGTTGGACACGAACCGGACGCATTACTGTTTACGGCCAGCGCCTTGACCCCCGAGGCCAGCAGGGTGCCCCATCACTGAACGGTTTAATGAGTATGACAGTGAAAGAATCATGTTATGGCCTTCACAGACATCGGATTTCATCAAAGTGTTAGACAGCGCTCTCCTCCACATAATAAAAACACCAAATGAGGGGCCATCTTTAGAAAAATAATTGTTTTTCCTTCCAGTAGAGTTCCACAGACTGAAAAACCTACATCAAGGAGCATTTGAAGAGAATGTGATAGCCCAAAAAAAAAAAGACACTTCTTATGTTTGTTTTTTTATTCTTTAGCCCATTAGGACATCCCAGTCACCACATTTGACCTTAAAACATAAGAGTTGTTTACTGTTGTTTACTGTTGTTTAGCCTTGGTGTACAGTCTTTTGACTTCACGGGGGACAGACACGCTGGCGCATTAGTCATCCTGCAGGAAGACTGAGAGGGAACAGCTTAAAAAAGAACTATAAAACCATGGTCTTCAGTGGACCGACCATCTGGGGCCACTTAGATGCCCGGCTGGTGGCAGACTGACCTCCAGCACTAACACATTGGTGCACACTCGTACTCAGTGACGCCCACATATTCAGACACTGTTCAATTCTTCTGTAACATCAGCTCTTTGGGATTTCTGTTGGCGATTAGAACAGATCTGGCTATTCAGATCCTCCCTCCCTGTGTCTCTGTGACTCTCTGGTTTGAATATAGGTCACTGAATTGAGTTCCTGGCACACGGCCAGTTCACTCCTACTCCCTCTCTCTCCTTTCCGCTCCCTTCTCTATTTCTCTTATTTTTACGTTCAGCTTCCCTCCCCAGCTCTCTCCTTCCCCTCTATGTCCCACGACCCTTCTCCAGCTATTTTCCTATGGAATGCAGGATGTTACTTTCTACTTTACTACTTTTTTTCCCTGCACTTTTGAATAGCAACAAATACGTTGGAGGAAACTGACCGTTAGGTAAAGCCTGGGTGGAGTCGGGCAGTGGAAAAAATAATTTTGAACATGAAGTGCTTCGATTCAAACTGCTGGTTGTAATTCACATTTCTTCCCTGCCTCCTGAAAGAATGAACAGTGGCAGCTGTAGGTCACAGGTCTGCGATAAGGTGTTGAGAAATAACTGATAAATACTGCATGTGTGTGTGTGTTTTCAGGTCAGTTATGGGTGTCTGTGAGCGGGGGGAAGGTGATGGTGTTTGATGCCTCCAGCTGGTCCCTCACACACACCTGTCACGTTGGGAATGCAAGACTGGTAAAGAAAAGACACACACTGCTCACACTAACACACCAGTTCAACTGCAACACCGAAACACAAGTGCACAAGATCGAAGTTGTTTTACAAGTTGGGCTGGATATTGAAATTCCAGAATGTGTGAATGGCTCTGATTTAAAAGAAAAAAACTGCCTGCTAAGCACCAAACCGCAGAGAGAGTTACTACCTGGTGAACATAAAGGAGCATTTAGTAACTGAAGACCCAGATATTTCCCTCAGGAGTTGGTGGAGGATACAAGAGAGCTAAAATGAGAGTGAATGCTGGACTCGAATTTGTCAGGTTGCCAAAAAACACAACTTCAGATGAATGTTTGCCAACTTGTTAGCTATATCAACTTAAAAGGTGATTAAGGCTCAAAGGTTATCAGTTTTGTGTTTATAGTTTGTTTCTGCTACCCCAAAGTGACCAAAAAAAAGATACTTATCGCAATACAGGAGTTACCATTCAATATATTGCGATATGTTGTGTTTTAATTAAAGCTATTATTCATCCTTGTCTCTCTGTAATCGAAGGGTGTTAAGTTATCTTTTCCATTAAGTGTATAAAAAAGTATATGATGAGACAGCATTTGAAGAGTTTCAAGCAAACTTTAAGGTTGGGATTCACAGATACCAGTATCGAGTATCGGTTCCGATACTGTGCTCTTGTACTCGTTCTTTGGCATTAATAGAACTACCACACCTGATATCACTTTACCACAGCGTGACGTTACGTAACCTCTCCATAGAGGAACAGCTGATTAACATGTTTTCAAAGTCATTGTTAGGACTGTAATAGTATTGCTAATTACTCATAGAAGTACTTGGTATTAGCAAAATGTAGAAATACAAGAACAAGTCTTGGCTCTTAGTTAAGTTTGATTTCCGCCTTGGAGTTATGACAAAACTAAATCTTATTTTTCCAACAAAAATCTCTCCATTGCTCAATTTCTCATCTCTTTTTCACAATTTTCGACAGCGTAAAACATGGATGCATTCAACAACTTTGCCACCGTTTGAATGAGAAACTAGAAAAACATGCTTACGTTTGCTCACAGTAAGATATCGAAGAGAGTAGTAAATTCTGTTCTGACTGATAATGTTGTAGTGAACATGATATTTTGGTAGTTCTTCCATCACTAAGTTAAAACATGTTCGACTGCTTCACATCACTGGCCAGAATCAGCAGATAAACAGCACATACACTGACATCAGATACAGATAAAACTGTTTTCCTCAGGTTTATTTTTTGCTCTTGTAACTACAGTGTCGGTATTATCTTCAGACTTGCAAGCACATGTTTTGAGGAGTGTACAGTGTGTTTTGAATAGTTTTAATTCCCCCCCTAAAAGAAAAACATTTTCTGGGCAAACATGGACTTTCTTAACAAAATATAAACAAGTGAAAGTTGGCAGGAGTGCCTGAAAGCTGTTTGGGGAATGTTCATGGTAAATGAGGTTAAGGATGAGTGTAAAGTTTTAAGGCACTTCTTAGGACTGTGCTAATCACTGACCTCTGCTCCAAGCATGCAGGTCACAGTCACATGAAATATGTTAA